AAGGCATTTCCATTATTAAAATCAATGCAACATTCACAGTTCTGGAAAGATTATTTCTGGTGGCTTTTGCCTTGTGCAAACATTTTACTGAGTTCTTTTGTCTTTTGAAGGCTCTGGAACAATGGCAGATCCTTAGGTGTGATGAGTTGGGTTGGCAAGCTGTTACCTCTTAGATCTCTCAGCTGAGACTTTCCTCTAGGCTCATTTTCCCCTGTTCTTTCATAAATCCCAGTCTTCAGTTTCCCCAAACACATTGTCTTCCAGTCTTTTTCCATATTGAAAAAAATAACCAAACTATGAACAAATCTCTCAACCTAATTTCAAAAATACTTCCCATTCAAATATTTTAATAGGTAGAATGTCATAGTATTGGGCATTAATGATGGGGTACTGGTTAATGATAGAAGTGGAAATCCAATCTTCTTGTGAATATACCCATTTCAAATCATCAATTCTAAATCTAAACTGGCATCAAAATATTTTTAAGGATGTGATGATTTGGCAAAATACCATGATTGTTGAATCTTTTTTTTTCTCTCTGATTCATTCCTCAGGATTTAAATACTAAGCACAAAACTACAGAGAAAATGTCTGTACTAGAGCTTGCAAATATAAAAACATAAGATCTTATCAACTGCCTTTGGACAGTAGCAGGGAAAAGCACAAAACTCACTCCAAACAGGGAAGGGCAGACCTGGGACTAATCCGAGTACTGATTAGGGGTGTTTTGCATTGACTGTAGAGAGTCACTTCAAAGTAAAACAGCCTGTGCAAAAGCTTGAATAAGAGCTCTTTCAGCTACATGTAATATAAACTTTATGTATGACCTAAAACTAAATCAGTACAAGTTTTAAAGTATAGAGAAATATCCACAAAGGCTAAATCTACCCTAGTCAGAGTTATGAAAGTACTGAGAAAAATAAGAAATTATCTCTCCTTTGGGAAACTCAGAATGAGAAAGCTAAGCACAGAGCCAAAGCTGACAGACCTTACATTTCCAAAGAATGTTTTTATATATGTTATTATGTATTATATTACAACGCATTATTTATACACTTTATTTCTTAAGAAGTAGGTTATGGTTTCACACTGGTTGGGTATACATTAGAACAAAAGATAAGCAAACCTGGAACACGGTAACCTTTATCTTACTACAATATTACCAGAACCCTGGGGAATTTAGAGTTTTGCAAAAGAGTAGGGAGCAAAGATTTCCAAAACCTGCATCAGCAACTGGAAACATGCCCCACAACCTTTACAACGAGCTTATTTAAAATTCCTGTTTAAGTAAATTATTTCTAGATTAAACCACCAGCATTTTAGTCTATGCTATCCCTCAGGGAACAAAACCCCATGAATCTTATACCTTATGGTCTGGTGTTTTAGCCTCTCCCAGCTCATGCACACCAATAACGTTTCCAAATTTACCCCTCTCTTACTTCCAGCTTTTTAGTCAGAGCCTGATTCTGATTATCCTGCTTCTTTCCTGTCTTCTCTGGTCATGTTTCTCCCAATCTCTTATTTTCATTTATTTATTTATTTATTTTATTTGGCCCTTTTTGGGATAGGGTCTCCCTACAGTCCCAGCTGGACTGGAACTCGCTATATAGACCAGGGTGGCCTTGATCTCACAGAGATCTGCCTGCCTCTGCCTCCCAAGTAATGGAATTAAAGGCATGCACCACCATGCCTGGCCCAATCTTTTGTTATTCCCCAGCACTTTCCTTTTTGGAATTTTGTTCTTTCAAGATCAGTTTCAATTATTTTTTGAAAGACAAACACTCAATTTTGACCATTCTCTAGAAAAATGTCTTGCTATATCAAGTGTCATACATTGCTAATATGTTTCTGACAACACAGTACCTTGGGAAATATACTGGTTCCCTATTTTTTTATTCACTTATTTTTGCTTTATGTATATAAGTGTTTTGCCTGGATGAATGTAAGTGCACACCGTGTGCATGCAGAGCCCATGGAAGTTAGAAGAGGGCATCAGATCCCCTGGAACAGGAGTCATGGATGGTTGTTAGTAGCCATGTGGGTGCTGGGAATCAAACCCAGGTCCTCTGCAATAGCAGTAAGTGCTCTTAACAGCTGAACCTTCTTTCCAGCTCCTCAAAACATGTCTTGTTATATAGCTGAGGCTACCCTCTTGAACTCACACTTTTTCTGCTTCAGCTTCACAAATGCTCAAATTACAAGTGTTCATCACTGCACTTGGGTACATGAATTCAGTTTTTAACTACTTTTCTTCCCCTTTCCACTCCACATCAGTCATGCCTTCCTTGTGAACATGTTGACTTCTATATGCCCTAATTTCCAATATAAGTGCCTGTACAGTGTCTTGAATATTAAACAGCATGGCAAATGCTCACTGGATGAATATATCATATGCAAAGAACATCTCATATTAAAACCTCCTCAGCAATGTATCAGAAACATTATGAGAAAGCTCTATAAATCTTTAAACATTAGTTACTGTTCTTTGCAAAGTGAGTTGGAAGACAATGAAGATGGCAGATTATGACAAATATTTACTTAGTTATATAGTTCATATGAACAAGTAGAACATTTTAAAAAGTTATTAAATATCTTCATTTGCAATGCTTTTCATGAACTTCCATCATAAAATTTAGATAAAGGCACAGAAGAAGTCAGGACAAGGAGAAAATACCAGAGATTAAAGGAGGACAACCACCATCATCCAACTCTTAAACATTCTGGTCATCCTGATCCTAGTGACCTCACATAAAGTATATTGCATTAAATATTTTCAGCATTTCCTTGCACAGCAACTAATCATTACAATGACTATTTCATAGTATTACTATTGTGACTCACATATTATGTCCTACTAGAAAATTTGGTCTTTGAATCCATGTGGATCTGACCTTGCAGTCAAAGTTCTTCAAGAAATTGAATAGATTTAATTGCCAGAGAGGAAGTAGAAATAGGTTTAAAAATTTGATGACTTTGAAGAAGTGATTTAAATTTTCTTGGTCTTAGTTCCCCATTCTTAAAGTCTGTCTTTGATAATCTCCAAGGTTTCATGTGGTTGTGTTTTTATGATAAAGTGGTATCTATATATTTAAAACATGTAGACAGGTACAGGGGCTGTGTTATTAGGGAGGGATGTAGTAGGGATTAGATTATGGTGGGAATTTAACTGGAAGGCATGCAGAAATGATCACCTTTTGGTCTTATGGCTCTGTTTTTTTTTTTTTACAGTTATCTTTTTGATTAAACAAATCTAATGAGAGAAAACTGCAGCAGTTTTAGTGGTAGATTGACTCTAAGTTGATACAATTAGACCATCTTTTCCCTTAGATATTAAATGCTGAATGCCAAATTATATAAATCTCAAAACTTTTATCTCATATGATTTTTGAGTTGAACTAGGCACGTTTCAAGAACATTGTACTCTAGATATATGTTCATGTTAGAATGAACAATGTTTCAAGAACATTTTACTCTAGATATATGTTCATGACACAGATTCTACCCATGGCCTTACCAACCATGATGTGTTAGGTACTTTCTTACTTTCAAGTAAAAATAGCTAATGTCAAAGTGTATACTATATTTTAGAGACCATGAAGTCATGTCAATATGTGATAGTATGTTCTTAACTAGTATTTGCTGTCAATGATACTTTTTCTAGACTCTTTAGCTTTTACTTTTTTTTTTTTATTTTGAGACAGGGTCCACTACATAGTACTAACTGACCTGGAACTCAGTGTGTATCCCAAGCTGTACTTGAACTCAGAGATCTGCCTGCTTCTGCCTCCCAAGTATTGGGATTGAAGGTGTGTGCCACCACACCTAGCCTTAACTTTTACTTCTTAATATTGTACAACAAAATTGTATAATACATAAGAAAAAAGTCTAGAATAATACTTATGTCTAAGAAAGTTGATATGATACATTTAAAAAATTTCCCTATAGTTAAAGGAATGTAGTGTAAAAGGTTAGGTATTCCTGTATAATCTAGGGCTGGTTTGAACCCATGACCCAGAATGCACAAAATACGATAAAACACAAATTTGGCAAATGCTGCAATAATGATCAGTTAAAATCTTCAGTGACATACTGACTGGTGTATAAAGAAGTTAGTTCATGTCTAAAAACTGAATATCTTTTCTAAAACATAAACAACCACATCAAAACTAAGTGCATAACTTCTTTTGCCTATATTGCTTTGAGCACCTTGTTACAGAACTTTGATGAAACATGAAACTTTTATATTAAACTTTCATATAACAGACATTGAAAGGCAAACACTGCCATTACAATTAACTAGGATGTTCTTGATGTATTAATTCGTGCCCCCTGGGCTCATATGTGACTTGTAGGACATTCTAATTAAAACTAGCCATTAGAGAAAAGAGAATCCAAGAATAGATAAAAATGAATTCCAATTTTTTTGAAAACAAACATGAAAGAAAAACTAATACTGTGTAGGTTCCTTATGAACTATGATAAAAAAAAAGTTCTGTAGGAATTCCTGTAAAATGTCTGCTGCAGAGAAATGGAACCCTGCTTTAAAACAAGTAGGCCCAATGCATTTTCTCAGTATAAAGATCACAGCTTTGAGTGTATCTCCACAGCCCTTATGTTTCCATACAGCAAACAAATATTCAAGACCACCAATGAATGGCTCCAAATACAGACTAATAAGTCACAAAAAACTAACAAATTGTGATAATAATCAACAGACACACCCTATAAACAATTTCCCGCTCAAAACATATTTTGTAAAAACAAGAAATTTTTAAGGCTTAAAAATTAAAGACATTAAGCATGTGCCAGAGACTTCTGAAGAAGAAGGTTATTGTGACACACTGACAACGAGCCAACCGGTCATCCATCAACCATGGTGCTCCTTTTGCTGCTTAGAATCTTATTAGCATATATTTTCCAGTTTTGATTTGAATATAACAATCTGGGAAGCATGTGATGGTAAAAATGAAAATTCAGTAAATATGGAGGGTAACTCATACCTTAAATTCCTCCAAGATTTTGTAATTTTTTCCATGATATTCACAAAAGTTTTTCACTTCTTTACACTCGGGACAGCATCCGTTGTGTTCCACTTTTGTACATTTCGGATGAATTTTAGGGCATTCTGGCTGGTCACAAACAGGTCCATCTAGAGCACAGACACACGGACAGTTGGAATGCCCTGGGAAAAACCGCTCTCCCAACTTGTATACAAAGCCGCTGTCATCCACACACCCTTTCCCTCGATAGTCATCAAAGATCAGATTGTCATTACTGGAGGCCTGGTCACCTTCATCAGCAGGATAGTCTTCATGACTGATGGCGGCAGAGGTGACCAATCCAGGGATGACCAATAGAAGTATGCAAGCTTCATGAATATGAAGAGCCATCCCCCTCCTCAAAGACTTCTGGGTGTGCTCCTAATATTAAATACACTCAGCTCCTTCCATGGGAATACAAGAGGGGTAGGCTGAAAATAAATATTTAAAAGATAATTGGACATATATAAAGAGAATATAGATGCATTTAAGCCCATGCTCTTAAATTGTTCGTTTGGGTTCAGTTTGGAAGACACCAAGACCTTAAAGAGATGAAGTTCATTCAACTGTCTATACTTCATCATGAAGTTTGAAGAGTGGTCCTAAATGGTCATTTATGGAATTATTTTATGTAAGGATCTTCAGTTCATAATTTCCCTTTGAATTTCAATGATCTGTCTTAGCCTATTGCAAAAAAGTGGTTGTACTGAGCCTTAAAAGGTGATTGCAAGTTTTACTGAGATAAAGCTCAAGGACATTTGAACTAGAAGCCCCTATTTTTCTTGGAACTGGATAATCAGTGATAGAATGTTGAACTATAGTCATCTGGATTCAAACATTAATGTGAAATATTAAATTCTGAAAGAAAGGGAACGTAAAATATTGGATGTATGTTTTAATTGAGATGGAGCCATTATAAAGGCTTTCTTTCTTATATATACCCATAATCTGGAGTTTGGAACATAGTGAATAAGCAAAATAGCATAATCAATCATGGTGAATAAGGGAAAGGAAGTTCAAAATAAATAACACAAGAGAATTAAACTTGTTAAAAGAAATTTGCAAAAACAAACTTATTTTTATTATTATCCACATATTATTTTATTCAGGAGGTAAGCTCCTAGTGGGCAGGGAAGATATACCTATAAATTTTTATAATAACATAGGTCTAATATTCGTGTAATATTATTTGAATTCAGTTACATCTATAGAATATAAATACTATTCATACATTCTTGAAAATATAACTCCTTGAAATGAAAAAAATGCATTTAGGCTATTTGAGCAATCATTTCAGCTTAAAACTGTCTGTGGAAGTTTCTCTAAAAAATAGTGAAGCATTGCTTTTACAAAATATAAATGTTACTATTTGTATGGCAATGACTGTTGTGAACTTCAGTTGGTATTGTTTGGTATTAAGTGTTGGTAGTGGTGAACTCTCCTTTAAATATTTATTGTAACTAACTTATGCAAAGCCTCTGGGGTAAACGATAACGTTGGGGAGTATAAGATAAGGAAAAATGTAAAATATTTCATTTATCTATGTGAATGCTATTTGCTTTATACCAGTAACACTAAGACGCATATAGGATATTTGCAGATATGTCATTCATTGTTTTATTTCCAAATTATATTAAAAGCAGTGATAAACTACTGATTTTAAGCCTAACATAAACAGATGATGATTGTAATAAGAATAAGATGACATTAGAAAACTTCATAAACCATTAGATTTGCATTTTGTTAGATATGCAAATTCTAGCAATAGTAAAATGGAAGGCAATATATTCATGGTCTCTTTTCAAAGAAAGCTGATACTAGAATTTGTCTAATATTCTCTGATATTAAAATTCACTTTGAGTGGATTCTTTTGGCTAATGATAAAGGAGATGGATTTCTCTTAAAATATGTCAAAAATAATGAGTCATGACAGAACAAAAAAATGCAAACCTTTAATTCTACTTGAGGAGCTGAAGGCTCCCTTTGACAAAGCATTTTTCCCTTTTAAATTACTACAGAGGCCACAAACATAGTAGAAGATTCTGAAAAAGCATAAATATATTTTGCCAATGAAAGCATACATTATGCACCTTTCACATATGTAGAAAGTTTATCTTGTAAGAAAAGGGAGCTACCATGCCTCCTCACAGTATCTAGCAATGTCCATCAATACATGCAAGGAAAACCATGTGAAATATACATACGATTCTTCTTTAAAAGGACACAGACAGAAAATGATCTCTTTATAAGCTACAGGTAGGCATTAATGTGCCAGCTTATGATAAATGTAAAGTTAGAGGCAAAAATTGGAGTGGGATATCTACTTTATATAAATATTAGGCTTGCTTTTAGTATGAGGAATACATTTCTTTTTAATATAACAAAGTTCTTAGGCTATTTTAAAAAGAACCTTCTTTATAACTGAGCTGTGGTACTACTTAAGACACTATTTATGAAAAGAAAGGTTAGAGAAATCAAATGACATGTATATCTGAAGATTTTAAATAAGAAAGCAAACACTGCTAAACTGAAGATCACTTCCCAGCGAAACTTTCCCCCTCCCCATATTGCTACAAATGATTTAAAATGACTGCATCTATTTCTTTGAGAAAGCAAACACAACTCATGTCATAAGATTCACTTACCGAATCACTTTGGAGGTTAATGGTGGTGGTGGTGGGGTCACAGACCAATCTGAACTAAAAGATCAGGTATGTCTTAGGAAAGCAGGTCCTCCTCAATCACCCAAAGAATGCATTTTCAGGAATGAATTAAAAGATAAGCCATTCTCTACTCCCCATTTCAAAACACAGTCAAGAAGCAGCCTCCCACCCTTCCAGAGAGAAACACAGCAGGCACACATAGGAAATGGGCTTTGGACCTGTCTTCAGAATTCAAAGCAAGAAGCAAAGCCGGTCCTGTGGAAACCCAGATCTCAGTAGCAGAATCATGTTGAACTTATTTTTAGCATTTTCTTAGATCCTTCTATGAAATTTCCTGGCTGATTACGCCTCCTCCACACATGAGTTCACTTACACAGTGTTCGGTACGGCAGCAGAGGTGATTTGGCTAGGCTCTGAGGATCACAAACAGAAACAGCATACTGTAGCTTAAAGCCCACTCCGTCGGCAATACCATCAGCATCGTTCACAGGATGTTGACTGAATCCCTTCTCACACAGCAAAAGATGCTAACTGTGGACGTGAAGGAAAGGAGGAACTTTAGCTGGGTTTCTGCATCCCTGGGAGCAGTTTGCAGACTGCTGATTCGGAGCTCATTCTGCCGGCAGCCGGGAATTCCTCAGCACCACGGACAGCGCCAACTGGCTTCTGAGCCCAGCTTGGTCAAAATCCCCAGCTGCTTCCGTAGACTGGGCTAGAGTGTTCTCTAAGCAGTCGCACTTTATACAGCAGATGCGTGCATCCGTCAGGAGGGTTCAGGGGACAGCATTCTACGTGAGAGACACTTATTTGCATTTAAATCACTATAAAAATATTAGAGAAAAAATGTAATTTCACCTAATGCATTCTTAGATGGGCTGCAGAGATGAAAGTTCCCGAGACTTGCATTTAGATTTAAGCCAGCTGCAGTACCTGATTATTACTAATAGATAAAGCGCAATCTCTGTCAAGGAATCCGTGAAAATGTATGCTTGCAGGCTCTGTTTGTCCCTCTGGTTGCAGAAAGACTTTCCCTGTGCTATACATAATTAAACTTTGGGTCTTCTGCAGCTTGGGTTTCATTGAAAAAAAAAAAAAAAAAAAAAAAAGTAGCCGCGTTTTTCTGCAGCTTGTTCTCTAACATTAAAAATCAATCTCCTGTAATTCATCTAGTCTGTCATTAGGCGTCATTGTAAAGCTGTTTCTTTCAAACCCCCAGTAAAGATGCTCTCTCTATAAATTCTTAACCAAATGAGGGAGTGAAAAAAGACTCAGACAACTACATGAGCAAAAAGTTATTATTTTTATTGGTAATAGTATAGGCACTACAATATTGGTTTGAAGCTTGTTTTAAAACAAACGTGTTATTTAATGGCAGTTTTAACCAGTTACTTACTGCCTTGGGAACCAACTACAGGAGGCATTTTTCAAGCCTTAGAGGGAATGTCCTCTGCAATGAGGTATGCTGCTGACGGTCAAAACCACAATCTGATGGTGCCATCAGAACCTCCGGAATACAGATTCTCCCCATCATGGGAAAACACCACAGTTTGTGCCTGGCTCTCATGGCCCATCAATTTATGAATCTGTCCAGATTGAATATCCAGCAAATGGATAACCCCATTGGCACTCGCCTGGGCTAAAACTCGACCTGTAACAGAGGGAGAAAGGGAGGGAGGGAATGAGGGAGGAAGGGAGAGAAAGTGAGAGGGAAAGAGAGAGAGAGAGAGAGATTGATCAATTTCAAACAGTCAGAGTGTACAGTATGTAAAAAATATTTTTATCTTGGTTATCTATTCAACAGACTCACTTTAATGTCAATTCTCATTAAATATGACCTAGTTCCTATCTGTATGGAAACAATTTGAGTCATAACTAAGATAATCTCTAATTGATTATAAAATTTAGGAATGAGGAAATAAAACATAATGCTTTGCTTATTTTAAATATTTGGCAGCCAGTAAATGCCCCATCCTTCTCCATATATTTGTAATAAATCATCTTGAAATGAGATTGAAAGCAACTAAGGAAGACAGCTTTCTATCTCCAAATGAATATATTAAAACATTTAAAAGGAATAATTTTCTAAATAGGAACTATAACATATATGTTTGATATATCTATAGGTGTATATCTTAGAAAATTTATATTTGAAATTTTCTTTTTTGACAAGTTGGCCTGATTTAAATGTTCATCATAATTCTGCTTGAGAATAATATATATTTCTGCTTTTAAAATTGTAACATTCATGACTTTAATATAATTTCTTTGGAGTTAAAGAGAAAATAAACATCTCCTCTCCAAAATTATACGGATGTTTAAAGTCTAGCTTAAAATTCAAAGTTCTTTGAAATTAAATTTTTATGAAACAGAATAAATTTAGTATATGATATTTTCATAATCTTTATGCCATATTTTTAGTGACTAAAAAACAATGAATTAAATAACCTAACGAATGAGTAATTTTACTGAAAAACTCCAAAAGGAAATTATCTGGGGGTTTGGAAGCAAGAAATGTAATAGAAAATACTTAGCTAAACTTGGACATTGGTATTAAGCATCAGATTATGTCATCACACTTAGAAAGTATATTATCATTCAAACAACATGTTTAAAACTTACTATACTCTTTCAACATGGCTAGATACCACACACCTAGTACTTGGTGCAAATAGTTGTGTACAGTCCTCAGAGTAACACAATGACAGAAGGAATAGTACTAATAATCCCATTATGTAGATGAAGAAAGAGGCTAGGGGAGGCTGAGCAAGTTGCTCATGATGCACCTTCTGTATAGGAGAAGCTAACATTTAGCCATGAGCACTTCAAGTCTACAGCTGTGACCATTGTGTTTTCCACATCCAGTAAAGCCCTGCTATCAGTGATGCCTTCTCGACAGACTTTAGGTAGGTGATTATCATGAAAGGAAGTTTGTCCATTTTATAATAAGAATTCAAGAATGCTGTTGCCATGAAATATATAATTACATATAATCCTCAAATCATCATGGCTTCTTCTGAAACAGAGAAGGGTTAAGAATACAGTTAACCATGATAAATACGGCCTATTTGCAAACCTTTATAAGTACTGGGCTTCTTCATCTAGAACAAAGCCTGACACAGCAAAGATCCTTACGATGGATTAGAGTGTCCAAAGCAGCAGATGTGAATATTTATTATAAACCCTCTTCTACCAAGTGTTTGCTGACAGAGCATTATATATGGATTTCACTTCCAGCTTCATTCTATAGCAACTGCTGTTTGTGACTTTCCTGAGACTCAACAAAGACTTTTTTCCTGTCTTTACACAATAGCTATAAAGTACTTGTTATAAAGTTTTTATTAATTTTGAAACCAAACAGAACCAAAGCCCATAAAGAAAATTTACTTTTAAACAACGATTTTTGATGAAATCAAATCATTATAAATCATATGTAGAAAAATTTAGGAAACTTTTGAGAGATTTTACAATAAAATTGAGAAAAATGATAATACTAGACTGTAATTACAGGGTCGTATAATCCAGCAGCATATAGCAATCAGGTGTTTTAAATATATATTTGCTAGAACATCTGATTCAGTAAGTTTATGGTAATAACTCATGCCTCACACACACACACACACACACACACACACACACACACACACTCAACTCATTCCAAAAACAAGCATACATTATAATCATGTTCAAGCATGTTGGATTATTGCATGTTATACAATGTCTTGCTTAAACACTGACTTGCTTAAACATTTATCTAGCCCTGAAAGATAGTCAGCGAGTAGAGGAACTTTCTGCCAAGTATGAGAACCTGGAAGCCACATGATAGAAGGAGAGAAGTGACTTCTGCAAGTTGCCTCCTGACGTCCACAGATGTGCTGTGGCACATGTGTGCTCCCAGATAATAAATTTTCCCTTTCTTCCTGATTATTAATATATTTAGTTTTAATGATCTTGAAGATCCTAGTTTACATTATTTTAGTTCCTTGATTTTTTTGAGCCAAATATTAATTAAAACAAAACATAATCAAAATAATTGTCTTGGGATATAAATAACCTGAATAAATATAAAAATTATACTTGGTAGTTAATAAGAAAATTATAACAAATTATGAATGAATATACTCTACAAGTATCACCTGGCATGTGATGGAAAATATATAGTAAAGTTTGGAAATGTTTAAAAATAAAAATAGCTAAAGCGAATTCATAAAGGTAATTAGCTTTATTAAATACAAAGTAGTGGTTTTTATGATGACATTTTCATGCATACTTGTCATTGTATTTCATTCTTTTTGTTCACTCTTTTTTTTATGAGATAATAGCTCACTATGTATCATTGATTGACCTGGACTCACCGTATAGACCAGGCTGGCCTAGATAGAACTCTCAGAGATTTGCCTGCCATTGCCTTCCCAGTGGTGGGATCAAAAGCATGGACCACCACGCCCATCGTTTTACTTCCTTCTTTGAATCCCACTGACCATTCCCTGCCCCATCCCTCTGCTTCTCCTCTTTCGGATCCCTTTCCTTCCCCTGGAGCCCTACCTCCTGCTTTCATACCAGGTGCATTCCACTACCATCTCTTCAGAACCACATATATTGTCATTTTAAATAAAACACGCTGTATTTAAACACCTGCTGTTTTTTTTATTTTAATTAAAAGAAGCATTTCATTACAACAACATTAACCTATTCAATAACATTTTTCTGAGCTACGGTACATCTCTTTCAAAATTGGCTGTACATTTTTAGGTTTACAGATGAATTATTACGCTTATATAATCTTTTACTCATTATAAACTCTATAAGACATAAAATTAAATGAGGTTCCAACGTTTAAAAAAGATCTCCACTGCGTTGTCAAAACACACAGTTTCATACAGAAAAATTCATTTCAGGGCTCTTGACATTGAGACGTTTTCACATGCATTTCTAATCTCTATATACATGACTATCACTGGTCACAGTCACCCACCTTCTGAGCTCCTCGGCATCTGAGCATGAATACAAACTCATCAGGTAGATAGCCTTCCTCTCCCACTAGAGCCTCCATACTCTGCTATCCCTGCCACTGTCCACTGTGCTGTCAGCACCCCCATCCATTCCCCCCTATCTGCCCTTCTGGTAAGTCTAGTCAGCCAGAGGTCCCTATTCCAGGAGGATCAGCTGTTCCTTATCAACGGCAATCCATTGTCAGTATTCCTTTGGATAGAATTGGGGTCTGCTGTTAATATTTCCAGTAGTATGTTGGGTTACTGTCTGGAAGAGCCTTTATCCATCCTGGCCAAGAACTCGACTGAAGGTATCGCCTGTCTGGCTTTGCTGTTTGTCAAGTAACTTTTAGTTATATATATGTGTGCTCTTATGAAATTATATTGGCCCCTTTAATCTTTGATTATCCTTCCCTTTTGGGTGTTTAAGGACATACCATTGGACCAGGTAAACTGATTTGTTTTTACTCTTGAGGTGGTTTGAGGATCTGTTCCTCAGGGGTCCCATGGGCTTGGGAGGAGCCCCTGGCTCCTTTCTTTTACCAGTTTCATCTACGTGAAGATAAGTCAAAGGTCCTGCTCGACCATTGTTGGCTTCTCTTGGAAGCATGGAGGAAATGATTCCTCCGTGTTGACCCTCCTCTTTATAGACTGGACACTGGTTCAAGACACTCTAGTGGGGTCTCCTTGGCCTCCTTGATCAAGAGGTCAGATGACCCATCACCATTACAGGACATTTTGCGAGATGCTCATGATCCCTGGGAACTAATCGACCTAGGAGGGCAGGGAGCAAAAAGTGTCCTTTGTATCCCTCTGACCCAATTAGTATAGATCTCAAGGTATGTCTGTTAAACATCCAAGAAGGTTAGTTCCACCATTCTGGTATTTTTAATTACTGTGTAAACACCTGCTGTTTTTAAAAAGGTGACTTACCTCTTTACATTTGGGAAATTATGATACTCAAATATTCATCAAATCAGAAAACATATGGTTTGGTGGCACATTAATTTTAAAATTGCTCTTTTACTATAAGTAACTCAGTATATATCAGCAATTAGAAATTATGAGTGCTTCTCCATTCATACATCTCCAAAAATCATGCTCAGTACTTGATGTTATCTGTAAACAGTCTAGGACACTTTCTTATTGAGGAAGCTGATGCCTTTCTGGAGACCAGGAGGATTCAGGAAGATACTGTGCATGGCTGTCCACTGTATGTCATTGGATCAATTTGCCTATTTTATTATTGAAGAACTAAATTTCTTCTAATATCTGCAATTAAATGAACCTTTCAACTTTTATAAGCTTGTGGATCTATCAGAACTTATTTCCTAGTAAATTTATAGCATTCTTTAAAGAACAAAATTTCTTTATACTGCTGTAACGTGATTTT